AAAAACGTTTATTTTGCATCAAAAAATAATGATTTGGCTTGTTATGGAGAAACGGGCCAGATTCGAAAAAGAGTGACCAACGGGCCTCTCCGTCTAAGAAAGGGCCAGATCTGGCCATATGGGGCCACCTGTGGCAACACTGTCCCCATATAATTATATTTGTGTTAATGAGCCTATCATATTTGTATAATACTTTTAGGATTTTATTTTGCAATACTTTTATTTTATCAAAATTTGTTTTTCCGCATGTATACCAAATGCGGGCAGCAATTAATTACCTTACCTGAGACAGAACAACAGCCTTGACCTCATTTCAAATGTTCGATGATCCCTATACACCTGAATATAGCCGACAACATAGGAACAATCTTATCTCTTATGTGGTATGCTCAGGCCAATATAACCTATTATATACAATTAATCTCCCTCAATAAAATGGGACTCTGCTCTTAAGTCTGTAGTTATTTGTGTCAATTATTTAACCGATACAGGTCTGTTTCTGGAGAAATCACAAACCAGTCAGAGTGAATTTCATTGGTTGGAACTAGTTTTCTGACTGTTTTCAACCAATGAAATTCGTTCTGACTGGTTTGTGATTTCTGCAAAAACAGACCTATTATATTTTCCTTAGCTATTCTTTGTTGAAAACCATCATAATAGTACATTATATACCTAGGTAGAGAAGTTGGTCATTATATACCGAGCGCTTTTATAAACCGAGGCGCAAAGCGCCGAGGTTTATAATGCGTAAGGTATATAATGACTTTCTCTACCGAGGAATATATAGAATTTTTTTTACTACTGCTAGTAGAAAATAAAAACTAGGTTTGAAATCTGTGCTCAAATTATTTTTTCTTGTCGAAAGGCCCCTCTATCAACAGCTTATAGTAAATTCCTATGATATACATACAGGAACCTGTTTTTTTTTTAAATGACAGTTTGAAGTTGAAATTAAACAAATAGAAACCTGTAACGTTAGGGCAATATCCTTGCGTCATGACGTCATTTTCATTATTGACCTAGGTATTTTTTCATTATTTTCATTATTAACCTAGGGAGAGAAATTCAATTTTTTCCCAGAAAAATAGATTGAATAATGACTACTTCTCAGGTTAGTAGTAAAAAAAATGTATTATGTCCACCACTCTATTTTTTTTGCTGAATTGATTTTTTTAATGGTTACAATGTAGCCTATTATGATCCGAAGTTAAATCATCCTCGACCCTTACTTCACAATTTAAATTATTATGTTGATCAGACAACACGTCATGATCAATTATTATACTCACAGGGTGACTAGTAACTCTATTAATGTTCTTATTTGTTATATATTATGTATCATGAAATTATTTAAATTGTTTACATTCTCATAGTTTATTGTATCATAGGTATTTTCCAGAAGGTTTATATTGAGGTCACCCATTATTATATGATTGTTTTGATACTTCTTGCAAAGGGTAGCCATGAATTCACCATAAGAAAAAGAAGCTGGTCTATAATAAATCACACTTAATTTTAAATCTGCCCTCCTTCTCCTTAAGCCTATACATACTGCATTAATTCTTAAGGTACTATTAGGTTCAGATTTTTCCATGTCACAGAAAGTTATACAGTTTTTCACGTAAATTGATGCACCTCCGCCTCTGCCATTCTTTTATGCCTGTATTACATCTGTGTATTTTTTCGTGCATTTATTCATGGAGTTCAGGGTGACAATCGAAAAACTTCAAACGCAACATAAATCAGCATTATGAAAAACAAAATAAAGTTGCCACCCTGAACTACATGAATAAATACACGGAAAAATACACAGATGTAATACGGGCGTTACATGTATAGAAGTCCTAGTTTTCGATACTTTCCTAGTTTTCCAACTGTGCTGTGTTTTCCAACCCTCTTCCAACAGCAGAACTTTGAATTGTTCATTTTCTCTTAACTCTACAGGGTGTCCGTTTTAAGTGATACCACTATTGCTATCTCGGAAACGGTAAAAGATACGAGGTCGGTTAAATTATAAAAAAGTTGCCTTTTTTGATGCCCATTCAAGATTCGTTTACAGTGTTGACAAATTCCTTCTAGTTTGGGAAATACAGGGTGATTTCCAAGAATCGCCTAAAACTATTTCATCAATTATTCCGAAAACTATTGATTTTTGGGACACAATTTAAATTTGAAAGTTTTATAACTTTTGTCGCTTTACAACATGGCATCTTCAAATTTCAAATTTGACGTTTCGTGATCGAGCTACTATCATCAACTTCATTTTTTCAAATACGGACCTAGATTTTTTATGTCATTTTTAGAAAGCGCACTTTATTCTTCTTAAGTATGATTGGCCGACGTTTCTGCTCGAAAAAGTGATCATCAGTGATTTTTACCAAAATTTTACCTTGATTAGGCCCTGGGATTCGTCATTTATAACAAAGACGGTCTAACAAGTACTTTTATTATTTAGAACAAAATTAACAAAATAATTTTGAATGAACACTTAAAATTATCTAATTGTAAACAATAATTAAAATAATTACTTAAAAACTAATTACGTACATACATATTATTGTAATTTCACAAATTCAGATTGGCATCAGTGATATGGAATATAAATAAATTTCATCAAAGAATGCCTTGAAAAAAATTAGATTGACAGCTGTGCAACATGTCAAACATGTCTTTATCATTTATTCATTTTATAATAATTGTTAAATGAATAAGAGTACCTACAGTGATTTTCATTATGGAGTTTACGAAAATACCAGAGACATTAGAAGAATTCAAAGTGATAAGGGCTGCATGTGCTAGAATAAATAATAGTTATGTAAACTTTGTTTCACCAGAGTTCATACTTTTGACATAATTTGCCTTTTTTTTAACAAATAGAAATTGACTGAAAGAAATCAATGACGTCAAAAACGTTCGTCGGTTGTTAAACCAGAAGTCATTCATAATTTGTCAAAAAAATTGAATGTCATAATATGAATAATTAATCTACAACCCTTTTTTTTTCAAGTTCAAGGTCAAGTATGAACCATGGTGAAACGATCTGTATTTGTATACCAAGGCCGCGAAATGCCTTGGTTGCTTGCGGCCGAGGCAAGATAGTCTTGAGAATGCTGCAAAGTTTCGCGGTCATGGTAAACACACCACGTAAGGTGTGGCGGCCGCGAAATTGAATTTCGCGGACGGTTGCATGAAAAACAATACATATTAAATAATATTCAAAAAAAAATTTGTGAAAAATTGCAGATGATGCTTAAGGAATAATGGACTTCAATTTGAGTACATACTTACAATAATAATTAGTTTTTGAGTCATTATTTTCGATATTGTTCATAATTAGATAATTTTAAGTGTTCTAAATAAAAGGAAAAAAGTACTTGTTAGACCGCCTTTGTTACAAATAACGAATTGCAGGGCCGAATTAAGGTAAAATTTTGGTAAAAATCACTGATGATCACCTTTAAAAGCAGAAACGTCGGCCAATCATACTTAAGAGGTATATCGTTAAAAAGGGAATAAAGGGAGCTTTCTAAAAATGACATAAAAAATTCAGGTTTGCCTTTAAAAAAATGAAGTTGATGATGGTAGCTCGATCACGAAACGTCGGATTTGAAATTTGAAGATGCCATGTTGTAAAGCGATAAAAATTATAAAACTTTCAAATTTAAATTGTGTCCCGAAAATCAATAGTTTTCAAAATAATTGATGAAATAGTTTTAGGCGTTTCTCAGAAATCACCTTGTATTTCCTAAACTAAAAGGAATTCGGCAACACTGTAAGCGAGTCTTGAATGGGCATGAAAAAAGGCAACTTTTTTCTAATTTAACCGACCTCGTATCTCTTACCGTTTTCGAGATAGCAATAGTAGTATCACTTAAAACGGACACCCTGTATATTCCATGCGGAGATCCAAAGAATGTAAATATAATTATTTTTAATTTGGTATTCCTTAGCTTCCATTAACAACTCTTGGTAGGTAAGTCCTTTGAATAACTTTCTATTTTCTGAAAAATAGTATGTAGGTATACCTACCTCGTCATAAAATCTGTGACTTCTAATTTCTCGCCATCAATTATGTAATGCTCTAAATTATTGTGATAAATTATGTCAATGTTATGTGTTTAGGTAGATATATTTTTACTTACCTATTTAAACTGTGCTCGTCTATCTTTTATTTGTGTGTTTTAGTGAGCTCAACGTAGGTAATAATTATATTCCCACTGATTCAATTTTCTCCTATAAGTTTAGGCTGTCCGAGGTTCAGTCATAATTTTTATATGACATAAGAATTCTGTGGTACCTATATCCTTAGTTTGTTGAATTTTGGACAAAACAATGTTTGTACTTACACGACAATGTCATCAATCTTTGCTTTAGTTCAGCGCCAATGACTCCACCAGTTTGAACATCTCCTTTTTTATTTTTGAGGTCCTAGTTGGGTTACCTACCATCTTTTACTTAAAATTCTGCACTATTCGGAATGAAGATTGTTTGAAAATAAAATATTGTATTTCATTCGGAGTATAAGTATTCTTCATGTGACTTGCATGGATTTTTCCAAACTTCCATGCGCTTCACATAAGTATTACTTATACTCCTAATAAAATAAATATCTATTATTGCATAATGTATTTCTCTAAAAATTATTATTTCTTTCCGCTTGATATTATTATATTATTATTAACGAACATAGAGTAGTAAATTTGAAGATTACCCAAAGTTGTAGTCATTTTGCAGAATACGGTGGATTGGTCTGAACTTGCAGAATATCTAGCTATTCCGCACATTTTGTACATTGCTGTTAACATATTATGCATTATTGTAAAGTAGTAGACTTGTTAATAATACCAACTGACAGAAAAAAAAACGCGTTGGAATAGAAACTTGGATTGGTTGAACGCTGGAATTCCTAATAATTCGCATAATTTCAGATAGGTATCCTCTTATCATCAGAGGTCACCTATTTACTTAATGGTGTATTAACCTAGTATTATTTTTTCCAGGTGCTGCTTCTCTTTGGTGCTACCAATGCGTATCAACACAACCAGGATGTGGCACTCCGTTCCAATGGATATGGCATTGGACAAAAATATGTCCTGAAGAGGACGATGTTTGTGTTAAAGTTTTAGAGAAAAAAGATGGTACCACCTACCTAGCCACTTACGTAAATTTGTATTCCTAATTATTGGTATTTCTTTAGGGGAAACAGTTATAACGCGTGACTGTCTGAGTTCTCTGAGAGCCATCCGTACTGACATCCCAGCAGATCATTACGAAGGGTGCAGACCAGCTGCTGTTGATGTGAAATTAGCAAATTATGTTAACAATTCAATTAAAGAATTGGACATTTACAGGTAAAATTGATTTGAATTTTGAGAAACATTCTGCAACTTTTGAATTTTCAGAAATTACTATGATGAAACAACCTGGTGTTTCTGTTTCCTGGATTATAGATGTAATAGTTCGTCCAATTTATATCCATCAATTTTGATGGCTTTTGCTAGTATAGTTTTTATTCTAATACCATTAGTAACTAGATAGTGTTTTATAATAATTGACAAACCTAGCTAGAAGCTATAAGGAATCTGGTGGAAAAATTTTATTATGTATTTAAGAAACCTATTTTAGGATTTAGAAGACTCCAAAAGTTTTACTCAAAATAATTTGCATTAGCAAAATTGATAGGTATTAGTAGGTAGTTATTTATGATATAAGTGCTAAAAGTGACATTTTATTTTGTGAAAAGGGAAGTTTGGGTTAGTTTGGGTTAGTCCATCCCTTTGAACAAAATAAAATCATTTTTAGCAATGATTAGTTTTAGCACTCAGTGCTAAAAGTAATCACTTTTAACACCAGTATCATAAAATGGCATTCCACACACTGACAGTATCCGTTAAAAATGACACTTTTAGTGACGTTTGTAGAAAAAAAGATATTTTCATATGCAATGTATAATGGAATTTATTCACTATGTGATATAGGACCGTCCATATTAATTTTATTATGTATTGTAATTTTAATAAGATTTTGTTACACTTTTTACTATAGGTTAAATTAAAAAAAATTTGAATTAAGAGATTGTAATTTTGTTAAAGTGGGTGGGGCGTGGGGCATAACATACTTCTAACCAATTCCACATAATAAAGGCAAGGATTTTATTGAAATATCTAATTTTTATGATAAGTGATTGAAAGTTTTTTTTTAACCCGCAGTGTTAGCTCCAACAGTGGACTGTATAAATGAAACTGATCGTTGAATTGAATTTTCAATACAAAATTACAAAATATATTAATAATTTGACAATGTGACAATAATTAAACAATCTTTCCTTGGCGACGAACAAAATTCTCCGTCACTTGTTTTCAGCTGGTCAAAGGCAACGATATATTGGAGAAATATACATAAGTTTATTTACTTGCCCTAACATGCCGCCAGCCTTGAAATAACTAATTTCAACATTAAACCAATTGAACTATATCATATTAAAAAAAAAAGAAAAAAGAAAGGGTTCACTGAATTGGCAAAACACAAATTTTAGATATTGCACGTTTAAACACCGAACCATCAGCACATCGTACACTGACTACACGAACTATGCTGTCTGGGCCAGGATGAAGTTCGAGCACTCTACCAGTTTTCCATTTGTTGACTGGAACCTGATCCTCCTTGATGATTACCAAACTACCAACTGCTAATAGTTTGGTGTAAGACTTTTTCCATTTGATTCGAGACTGCAATTCGGAGATGTATTCCACATTCCATCGCTTCCAGAAATGATGAACCATAGCTTGTAAACGCTGATATTTGCTCAGTCGATTTTCCGCGACGATCGTGTAATCTGGTTCTGGAAGGGCGGTTAAAGGTTTTCCCACCAGAAAATGGGCCGGAGTAAGTGGAGTTGTATCCTGAGGGTCCGTAGACAGCGGTGATAATGGCCGGGAGTTCAACACCCCTTCAATTTGAATTAATATTGTGCAAAGATCCTCATAAGTAAGACTAGAAGCACCTATAACGCGTTTCAAATGGAATTTAAAGCTTTTTAGACCGACTTCCCATAAGCCACCAAAATTAGGTGCTCTAGGCGGATTTAAAGTGCCACGATATTCCTTCAGCTGAAAGTGTTGAGGCTATATCATTTGAATTAGTCTTAATAAAGTCAAAAAGCGTCGCATTGGCCCCCACGAATGTAGAACCATTGTCTGAATAAATATGCAAAGGTTTACCCCGTCTTGCTATGAAGCGTTTTAATACTGCAATGAAAGAAGGAGTGGTCATATCAGTGACGACGTCTAGATGTATACATTTCGTACTCATGCAAACAAACACACACACGTAGGCCTTTAAGGTTTTTGGATTTCTCGTTTTTCTGTCTCTTATAGTTATTGGTCCAGCATATTCAATACCAGTATGTGTAAAGACAGGTTGAAATGCTGTTACTCGACTTTCAGGCAAATTTCCCATTTGATAGTGCTGTGCAACTGGTTTAGCCCTAAAACACACAACACAATTTCGTACGATTGATCGGGAAATTCGACGACCGGAAATTGGCCAAAACCCTTGACGGATTGAATATAGAAGCTGTTGAGGCCCACAATGTAATAACTCTATATGTTCATGTCTCAAAATCAAAACAGTAAGAGGATTTTTATTATGCACTATAGGGATTTAAACTCAAAATTTGACTAGAAGTGGATAAAGTTTCGCCTCTTTGTAATGTAGCATATTCTTTTGGAAACGATTGGATTTGTGATATTCTTACTAAGCAAATAAGAGCATTATTTAGTTCTTCGGATTGAATGATACCAACTAAGACAGTCTTAGATTTGAGACGAAAATAAACTCGAAAACATATTGCAATAATTCGTTGTAACTTTAGCAGAGACGAGAATCGGACAAAATCAAAATCAAAGACCTCCATCAAAACTATAGAATGACTAAGAACTTTCTGTTCAGGTATGTCTGAGGTTAATTCAACAACCTTTTGAGTTTCTTTTAAGGGACTGGAAAATACTAATGTGGGTCCTTTCCACCATAAGTCTGACTCAAGTAAATAAGTACTAGAGGCTCTTCTGGATAAACAATCCGCGGGGTTGTTTTCTGATCGAATATGATACCAATCCTCAGAGTTAGACAAGTTTTGAATTTTTGTTACGCGGTTTGCTACAAAAGTTTTCCATCTACTTGGGCAACTTTGAATCCAACATAATGCTATGGATGAATCTGTCCAGTAGAAATATTTGTCAACTTGAATTTCTATTGATTGTTTGACCTTTTTCATCAATTTAGCAGCAACATATGCTGCACAAAGCTCTAAACGCGCTAGAGTTATCGTTTTTATCGGGGCCACACTAGATTTGGAAAGGATAACATTGGAAGAAATATATTCACCAGAAGCTGTCAAACAAACCATGTAAACACAAGCGCCGTATGCTTTTTCCGATGCGTCCACAAAAGCATGAATTTGTAAGATTTTAAAATTATTATCTAGTACATGACGAGGAATAGTTACTTGATTGAGAAGTTTTAAGTCCTCACAAAATATCAGACATTTTTCTCTAAGACATTGTGACACTGGTTCGTCCCACGTTATCCGTTCTCGCCAAAGACATTGTAGAATTAATTTTGCAACTACCACAATTGGACCCAGTAAACCCAGTGGGTCAAATATTTGACTGGTAATGGACAAAATAATTCGTTTCGAAATTTTTATATCCGTCGTATCAGAAGCCCTAATAGAATAGTGAATTGAATCCTGAGTAGCATTCCAAAATATACCCAATGTTTTATTCTGTTGGCCCTCACCTAGATGCAAAATACTCGAAAATTGATCTTGATCCACTTCAAATTGGTTCATTAGCTCAGGCTGATTCGAAAGCCATTTTCGCAACTTAAACCCAGCGGTACTAAGAATCAAAAATATATCGTGTTGAAGTTGCAACAATTTGGACTTCGAAAACGCACCAGTCAATAAGTCATCAAGATAAAAACATTTCATTATAGCCTGGCTTGCTTCAGGATATTTATCTTTAAATTCTAGACCCATCAATTCAATTGATACAAAGTTCGAACCGCCAGAAACGGTGAAGAAGCACAACCGTATGTCACGGTGTTAAGCTCAAAACATTCAATGTCGGCGAATTGATTGTCAGGATTTCTCCATAAAATTCTTTGATATCCACGTTCAGAAGGATTAATCAAGACTTGTCGGTACATCTTCGCAATATCAGCATTGATCACATAGGGAAAAATTCGAAAATTTAGAAGAATAGATAATAAATCATTTTGAATGGTTGGGCCCACATATTGCACGTCATTCAAAGAAACCCCAGTATCGCTTTGTGCTGAAGCATCAAAGACAACTCGGACCTTGGTTGTCAAACTGGCTTGTTTGACAACTGCATGATGTGGTAGATAAAAACAGGGCCGTATCTAGGAGGGGGGTTTGGGGGTTCAAACCCCCCCCCCAAAAAATAATAAAATTCAAAAAATTTGACTTAAAAACAAACAACACTTATTAAATACTTATTTAATTTTTTTATTTTTATTACTAGTGTAACAATTTTTTTTGCCACTTTGTCTAACCCCCCCCCCCCCCAACATTTTGGTCTAGATACGGCCCTGGATAAAAATACTTATTTGAATCCCTCGAATCCATCGAAAAGTCTGTAATTTTCGTCATATGACCAAGATCGCTGTATTCATTAATAAACGAGACATATTCTTTCTTTAACCATGCGTCCTTGTGTAAGCGTTTTTCCAAAAAAAGTAATCTCTTATAAGCCATTTGCCTGGAAAGACCTAGTTGACCAACAGTTTCTTTGAATGGAAATTTGACAACAAAACGACCTTCAGAATCGCGAGAAAAGTTGTTGACAAAATGACTTTCGCAATATTCTTCGGCCTTAGTTAGACATAACCTTTACATTCCAGTCACATTCCTCTAGTTCCCAGAATTTTGTCAAGTCTCGATCTATTTTCTGCTCTAACGAAAGACATGCCATTACCCTGTCCTGAGAATTGAAAGCACATAACGGATTAAAGTTACCACCAATAATCCAGCCCAATCTAGTCTTTTGAAGAACTGGCATACCAGTAGAACGAATTTGTTTCATAAGCAGTATTCTGAAGAATGCGTCATTACCTAACAACATGTCGATGTTACCTCGTCAATTGAATGCTTCGTCAGCTAACCTTACATTTTTGGGAATATTCCATTTGGAAATGTCAAAGGACACCGATGGCAAATTCTGAGTTATTTTGGAAATGACCAAACAAGGAATAGTTTCTTCGAAATCATTATTTACATTCGACATGACAGTCACATCTACTCTGGAACTCGCCGTAGCTGACAACGCTTGACCTACTCCAATAATTTTGAAATTAACGCAATGTTTCTGGAGACCCAGTTTGTTAACCAAACTTTCCGACATGAAATTGCTCTGCGATCCTGGATCAAGTAAGGCTCGAACAATGTAAATCACTCCGTCCCTACCTAGAACTCGAATTTTAGCAGTGGCTAGCAGTGATAACGTTGTATTATAATTTTTCCCAGATTCAGTGGACGGAGTCATGGCGCTCAACACAACAGCACTCTCAGGTTCAGCTGACGGGGGCACCGGATACTCCTCAGATTGCAATAGTGAATTATGTTTCTGGCCACAATGACGACAAGAGCTCGGCTTTGAACAGTTGCTTGTGTGTTCTCGACTAAAACAATTCAAACACAATTTTAATTCACCTATAGCTGCGAGTCGAGCTTGCACATTCAAATTCCTGAATGCGAAACATTTATAAATGGAGTGTGGCTTATTACAAAAATAACAAGAAAATTTATTTTGTGGCGTAGCTGCCAAATGACATTTAATTTTTTCTGATTTAATTTCCATTTTTGAGGATTCCAACTTTTCCAATAACTCGCATCTTGCCTTCAAGAATTTGTTAACGTCTTCCAAGCTAGGAAGTTCGTTACTTTTTACCTGAAAGGATTCCCATTCTCGAAGAGTTATGAGATCGAATTTATTTGCGAGCATGAATACAATGAGTGTGTCCCAATGCTCAACTTCCTGACCAAGGCTTTTCAAGGATCTTAAATTTTTATTGAATATATCGTAAACTTTTCTCCTTGATATAATTAT